TAATAATACAGTATTTATGTTGGATAAGTGAGACTCTCCTGTAAATAATTTGTAGAATGGGCATTTCTTCCACACAATGACTCACAAGCCCAGATTCCCAGATGTGACACTACATTACATTACACTACACTACACTACACTCACAGCATCCCAGGCCATATGGCAGAGCTATATTCTAATCTTTAGGGACCAAACTTTAGGAAAAGCTGATTATAACAATGAACATTGGCTGGATGCCGGGGAAGCACTGTGTCTACTCCAGAGTCATTCTATGTACACATTTCCATCAAATACATTTAATCGGTCTCATTCTGTGTGTCGTCTCAAGCCTTTGAGAACTGAGATGCCTTTTTGCTTGCTCAGTCCACAGTCCCAATAATTTAAACAGTTGGTTCTGTGTGCCCAACTATGCTCCAGTCTTGAGTTTCCCCAAGTGTCATCAGGTCCTGTATCATGAAGCAATCCACTTCTCAAACTCAGTTAAAGATGGCGTGTGCTGTCCTATGATTTTCAGAAAAGAAACAGATTCTGTCAGGTATGGCTGAACTCTTCTTCAGATCAAAGATTGAAGTCATTTTCCAACACAAAACTTCTATGTTCTTTCTAATGGGAGATCTGTTACTTATGTGGCCAATGATTCTATAATACAGAAAAGACTCTTGATAGACAGAAGGCAAAAATCACCTTCTCATCTGTGGTTTTGGGCCCCTCATTGCATACTGCTTTGAAAAAGCCACATTTTGTGTAACTAATGAGAAATAAAAAAACATTGGTTAATACCTCATCCTGTCGTCCAGTGAAGGAAGTGGGCTGATGAAAATCTGCAGATATCCAACATGGTCTGTGTTTCAGAACACCATTGTGAACCAAGAAAATTCTGCTCTGTTCTTTTGGGTATAAAGTTCCCCTCCTGATTTGGTGACATTTGCAGATTTGAAAAACATGCCCTCTGTTCCATCACACAAACCAATGATAAAGACGTTGCATAGGACTGGACTCATGTACCCCACTGGTCACTTCTCCCCAGGATGAAGAAGTGAAGCCTTTGGTTCTGCCTTGGTTGAGCAACCAATTATAAATCTGCTACCTACCCAACATTTTATCAGCTTGTTTGGAAGAATATCATCGAGGGGAGGGGTTGATGAATGCCTTATTGAAATAAAAATATGCCACATCCCTTCAGCACACTCAACATCATTCAAGTATGTAACTATTAAAAAAGAGATTAATTAGTCTAGCACAGTGGTTCTTAACCTGTGGACTGTGGACCACCAGTGGGCCACAGACCACCAGTGGGCCGCAAAGACAAAAATCTGGTCCACAAGCCTCCTTCCTCTTTATTTTTTTCCGCTCCTTTCACACCACTTGTCACTCCTTCCCTGTTGCTGACCAGCCCCGACCCCTCTGGATTATTAAATATGTTTTTCTGTGGGCGAGCAGATGGTGACTACTGATGTCATATTTTCAGTATCAGAATCTAGAGCTGATGTGATCTATCCAATGCAGTTTTCTGAATCAGCACCCCAAATAACCAAACTGAATCTAAAGTTGACCAAAAAGCAGTCCGTAACCCTTTCGGTACTAATGTTGGAGAGTGCTCATTGGTCAAGTGGTCCTTGGTTGAAGTGGTTCCTGGTCTAGCATGACTTGTTTTGGAGAAATCCTTATTGATTTTTGGGATTGTGCCATTGTTTTCTAGATGCTTACAGATTGTCTGTTTAATGATCTGCTCTAGAATCTTTCCTGTTATTGATGATATTCACTGGGTGGTATTGTTTGGTTTCCTCCCCCCCCCCTCCTTTTTTTTTGAAGATGGAGACATTTGCCCTCCTCCAGTCTGATGTAACTTATGTACTTCAGGATTTACCAAAAATTATTTATCGTGGTTCAGTGATAACTTCTGCCAGTTCTTTTATTACTCGTAAATAATTCATCTGCCTCTGGAGACTTTATTTCATTTAAATTATTCCTGTGCTACCTCTTTACCTGTTCTGTGCTGCATTTCATCTACTGCATCATCTGCTCCATTTCCCACAAGTTCAGGTGTTGAGTAGTTTTGCCTTTTCTCCATCCCCTGTTAGCATTCTATCACCTTCTCCATACATTGGCCCTACCATTTCCTTATCCTTCCTTTTGCTATGGACATAACAGAAAAAAAAAACACCTTTTATTATTGTCAACCTCTCTAGCAAACTTGAGCTTTAGCTTTTTGAACTTTCTCCCTACATGTGGCTATTACCTAATCATTCAACCTGAATTTCCTATATTACATTACTATTCAGATTTTATAAGTCAAACTGAATTATTTCTGATCCTGTTAGATTGCTCTGTTTTAATGATATTTCCTATGCTATTATACATTTTCATCCACCTTGTTGAACCAATTACTCTTTAATCAGCCTGTATTTTGGCCTCCACCCCCTTTAGTTCTTTCGTTACTTGATGCTTGTCTATTACTGTTATGTTTGTTTTATGATTTTAAATTGAATTTTGTTATTGCTCTGCTTTTAATTGTATGTTCCCTGGGCTTGGCCCCATGTAAGCTGCCCCGAGTCCCTTCAGGGAGATGGAGGCGGGGTATAAAAATAAAGTTGTTGTTGTTGTTGTTGTTGTTGTTGTTGTTCTTCTTCTTCTTCTTCTTCTTCTTCTTCTTCTTCTTCTTCTTCTTCTTCTTCTTCTTCTTCTGTTTTGTTTTTATTTCTCTTTGGTGAATTCATTTCTGTTTTCATTTGTCCTCCCAAAGCAAGGGTGATCACAAAACAAGAGTGATCAGAAACTGGCCTGCTTGAAACAGGCCAGTTTCAAGCAGAAATAATCCAACCATAGAGCAACAAAGTTAGGCCAGGCCAAACCAGAGTCCAGATCAGGAAAAATTCAGGCATCAGAAGAGAATTTAGAAGTATTCAGGGGAGGGCTTCTAAGAACCAAAGCAAATAATGTAAATTGTTCTCCAAAACCTTTCCAGCCCAGGAAGCAAAATTCCTTGAGCCAAATGAATTCCTTGAGCAGTAGGCATTTCATGAAATGTGTTCTTCCAAGAGGAGGTTTTGACTCTGACCAGCTTTCCTTTTGTGTGTGTGAAGGAAAGTTCCTCATAATCTGTTGTTATATGTGCATAAAATATGAGCCTGCTATTTGTTTGTAAAGATTTTGTGCATTTTTCATTTGACTGAAGTTCTGAGAACTTTCAGTCCAGAATATATATTGGAGATGGTGAAGGGCCATCACATTTATGAAGGGGCTTCAGTGCTACCATGTTGATTTTCCTTCTACAGCAGCTGTTTAGTTGACCTCTATGATGTGTGTGGGTGTCTGCTAAAGAATGGCTGTGTGCAAAAACTTTTCATGTTGATATTTATAAAGTTGTTCCAAAATGTTTGGAAAATCCAGAAAAATTCAGGCCAGTGGGTGTGATGGTTGTCCTATGTAAATTGGTCCCATTATCTTCAGAGTGCCACCCAGTAGGAATAGAATAAAATTTCCAGAAATGTTGAAGCCATGGAGGAAAACATTTTTTTCCTTTTCTCCAGAAAATAACAGACACTTTTGAGGTGGAGGGAAAAGGCAAAATTCACACCTTTTATAGATTGAAAGTCATTTACCATATATACTCAAGTATAAGCTGAGTTTTTCAGCCTTTTTTCAGGCTGAACAGCCCCCACCCTGAGTCATGGTCACCTATTATTTTACTCTGTTATTATTATATTTATCATTTTTCTCTATGTAATTTTGTTATTATTACATTTATTATTTTCCTCTATTATTATTATTATTATTACATTTATTATTTTCCTCTATTATTATTATATTTATTATTTTCCTCTATTATTATTGTTGTTATTATTACATTACATATTATTACATTATTACAATACAATGTATTATTACATTAATGCATTTACATTGTTATTATTACATTACATGTCAATGTAATAATAATTTTACTATATTATTGTTATTATACTCTATTATTGTTACAATAATTTTACTCTATTGTTATTATTACATTTATTATTTTACTTTCTTATTGTTATTACTACATTTATTTTTTACACTTTTTATTACTGTTATTACATTTATTATATTACTCTATTATTACTGTTATTATGATATTTCCATTATTTTACTTCATCATTATTGTTATTATTGCATTTATTATTTCATTCTATTATTATTGGAAGGATACGTAAACACATTTACATTGAAGGAGGTTAGAATAATAGTTTAATCAGAGTTGGACAGTCTTATCTTACAGTTTTATGTAAATATTCAAAAACATTTAACCTACTGATGCCTTAATTCATGTAATTTTATGGGTATCTATATTTATTTTGAAATTTACCAGTAGCTGCTGCAAGTCCCACCCCTGGCTTATACTTGAGCCAATACATCTTCCCAGGGTTTTTTTGTGGTAAAATTAGGTGCCTCGGCTTATATACGGGTCAGCTTATACGCAAGTATATACGGTATTTATTTTAGGAGCAAAAATATATTATATATGAATTGACTTGGCTTAAAATTGTCATATAACTTTTAGTGCATTAAAAGTTCACAAAGTATGGATAATTCTTGCAAAGTAAGACTATAAGAAATGCCACCCCTGCGTTCTATTTGTTTCTCATTTTGATTGTTTTGGGACGGAGTTACTTGCTCATAAATGATCCAGTGTTAGTAAACAGCAGACAGCTAGACAAGTTTGCTACTGATATCAAATTGCTCAGAATTACAAAATAAATACTTTATTAAGAACATCCAAACTATTCCCTCAAATGAATGTTAAAATGGAAATGTGGCTGGGTTGAAGGAATGTAAAGAGACAGATATTTCCCCCTTTCACAGCTTGGTTTTTTAAAAATGTATTGATTTATTTGCTAATGGTTCAAATTTGTGCTGTATATTTTTGACTCTAATAGAGGAAGAATTTGTAAATAACATAAGTGAAACATTACATTGTTCAGTTGAATTTGAGTAACATGTTTTTACAATTTTGTATCCTGCAGGTTAGAGAACATTTGGAAACTGGTTTAACGGAGCAATCATGATGGGATTAAAGAAGCCAACTGCCTTTCCTGGTGGTCTTCATCTTTTAAGTGTTGTTGTACTCCTGCTATTTCACATGGACAAAGTACACTCAGAACATCTGGCGGAGGATGGTAATGATACTAAGGAATGTACTGGTTCTTATTTTTGTAAGAAAGGTGTGATTTTGCCAATCTGGGAACCTCAGGACCCTTCATTTGGTGATAAAATAGCAAGAGCCACTGTATACTTTGTGGCCATGGTCTACATGTTTTTAGGAGTGTCGATTATAGCCGACCGCTTCATGTCATCGATAGAAGTTATTACATCCCAAGAGAAAGAGATCACCATCAAGAAACCCAATGGTGAAACCACCAAGACCACAGTTAGAGTTTGGAATGAGACTGTTTCCAATCTAACTCTGATGGCTTTGGGCTCTTCTGCTCCAGAGATCCTCCTTTCTGTGATTGAAGTATGTGGCCATGGCTTCCATGCAGGGGACCTTGGGCCAAGCACCATTGTAGGTAGTGCAGCCTTCAATATGTTTGTCATCATAGCCCTTTGTGTTTATGTTGTCCCTGATGGAGAAATCAGGAAGATTAAGCATCTCCGTGTGTTTTTTGTCACTGCAGCTTGGAGTATCTTTGCCTACACTTGGCTTTACCTAATTTTATCTGTCATATCACCTGGGGTAGTAGAGGTCTGGGAAGGCTTGCTCACCTTCTTCTTCTTTCCAATCTGTGTGGTGTTTGCCTGGGTTGCTGATCGGAGGCTCTTGTTTTACAAGTATGTCTACAAGAGGTACAGAGCTGGCAAACAGAGGGGGATGATCATTGAGCATGAAGGGGAAGGGCCACAGTCCAAAGCTGACATTGAAATGGATGGGAAAGTAGTTAATTCTCATGTTGAAAGTTTCTTGGATGGCACTCTGGTCCTCGAGGTAGACGAGAAGGATCAAGATGATGAGGAAGCACGGAGGGAAATGGCCAGAACTCTCAAAGAGCTGAAGCAGAAACATCCAGACAAAGAAATGGAGCAGCTGATAGAATTGGCTAATTATCAGGTTCTAAGTCAGCAGCAAAAGAGCCGAGCCTTTTACCGAATCCAAGCCACTCGACTAATGACCGGTGCAGGCAATATATTGAAGAGACATGCTGCAGACCAAGCCAGGAAAGCAGTCAGCATGCATGAGGTCAACTGTGAAGTAGCAGACAATGACCCTGTCAGTAAGGTGTATTTTGAGCAAAGCACCTACCAATGCCTTGAGAACTGTGGCACGGTAGCCATAACTATCTCCCGCCGAGGTGGTGATTTGACCAAAGCTGTCTCGGTTGATTTCCGAACAGAAGATGGTACAGCCAATGCAGGATCTGATTATGAATTCACTGAAGGGACTGTGATATTTAAGCCTGGTGAGACACAGAAAGAAATACGGGTTGGCATAATTGATGATGATATATTTGAAGAAGATGAGAACTTTCTTGTTCACCTCAGTAATGTCAAAGTGATCTCAGAGGAGAGGGAAGAGAGTGTGCTAGAGGCCAATCATGTCACAACAGCTTGCTTGGGGTCACCTGCCACTGCCACGGTCACTATCTTTGACGATGATCATGCTGGCATTTTTACCTTCGAGGAGCCAGTCACTCACGTAAGTGAGAGTGTGGGAACCATGGAAGTGAAAGTGCTACGGACATCTGGAGCTCGAGGAAATGTTATCGTGCCATACAAAACAATCGAAGGCACAGCCAGAGGGGGCGGAGAGGACTTTGAAGACACTTGTGGAGAGCTTGAGTTTCAGAATGACGACATTGTGTAAGTACTACCCAATTTTTGACATTTGTCAGCAATGTTAAGCTGTTTGAAAACAGATTTTGTTAAAAAAAATTAAAGCTTTTTTTTTTTTGTTCAAATCTTGGCTGCTCTTGTACAGCGACAAAAGGCGGAAAGGTACCAGAAACTGTGTGACCTTAGGTGCCAATATGTCTGCTGGTGTCAAGCCTGTGCAAAATTTCAAAGATGTTGTGAGAATGGGTGCATGTGACAGAATGTTGTCAAAGGGGTTGTGTCTGGAGGTGTGTATGTATAAACAATAGTGTGCATTGCCCTGACAGGAACACTGGAAGTTGTCACTTTTTTCCATGCCAGTGGCAAGTGGCATAGAACAGTACATGACAAATCTTGACCAGAAATTGAGGAATCCCTTTCCAACCACACTTAACATATTAAGATTATCTTTTTGCAACTTAGACCTTGTTTCATTTGGGTGGAGGGGAGGGTTGAGCTTTGCTGGAATGGCCCCGCTGCTTACTTTACAAAAAACAGCCTGTGACTAATAAACAAAGTCAGGTCGCAAGGTCAGAGAAGCTTGTCATTAGCCTTTGTGACATCTTGAAATATTTATGCTTTGCACTTTCAAGTTAATGTTGCCACGTGGGGGAAGGTCCAATTAGGCAAGGCTGTCAGGTTTGACAGTTTACAAATTAGAAAGCGGTTAGAAAGGAAATATTGCTGATAAGCATTTCCTGCAACTGGCAGTGGATTTTGGAAGAGATTTTCCCCCATGTATATATACTTCTTTTTTCTTTGTGGCTATGGCCTTTGTGCATACTACCCTATAATGAAGGAATACTAATGAACAGAAGCCTTCAGGGAAATAATCCCTAATCTACAAACAGGTTGCATTATGTCTCATCTCTCAAATCTCCAGTAATTATATTTTATCCTATTTGTCCTTGTGGGTACAAAGGATTGCTACCCACACTGAGTTCTAGTCCTTCATGACATGAAAATGCTATTCATAAGACAAATACAGAGTTTGCAGAATTTACCCATTCAGACTTGGAAGTTCTGGAATGCCCCAAATCAGTCATTGAAGGATGCTGTAACCCAAAATACATTGTCACCCAAACGTTTATAAATGTTGAGCAACCTTATTGTGTATTATAGTATATCTCAATGTGTATATAACCTGGGACTACACTGGAAATGTACTAGCTATTGTGATGGTATACACTGAGGTTATGAATTTGCATCTTGAGTGCATAATTTGAAAATACTGGCCAAAGGATTGTAGTGGATCAGATGAGGTGGTACAGTACCCATTTCATTGGAAATGTGAATCGGTTCCAGCTTTAGTTTAGACTAAAGTTTTAGAACCTAGTTTGGAGATTGGTGGCTGATCCACAGTGGCCCCAGTTCCTTTGTCAGCTTTTGGCAAAGTCATGGATGCTAACTTTGGAATATCCTGGGCAGTCTGGACAGTGCAGTCAGGTCATCCCAATCCACTATCCAGACTGGTGCCATCACCCTTTCCCTGCACTACTTAAAGCAGGGAAAGAAGATGGGTCATGTCCATGTTGCCACCTCCACTCCTAGGTGGCCACAGTTCTATCCAAGCTCCTGAACACCAGGAAATCCCCCCTTCTTGCTGATTGCACCAGAGGCACCTGTGACAGCCAGGAACTTGCCCAAAATGCCTTGACCGACTAGGTGACTATACTGGAGGATGCATCACTGGACTGACTGGACAATAGCCCTGGATTCAGTATGCTGATTTGGGTGCTGTTCCAAGGCAGGTTTGCACAGGGCTAAACTACCCAGTCTAGATGAAATGTCAGACTAAAACTTGGAATAGATTTATGGAATCCACCAATCACTACTTGTACTTCCCCTAGCAGATGAAAGACAAAATTCCTCCTTTCATATTTACATACTCTTTAACTGCTGCGCATATATTTTTAAAGCATGTTGGCCAGTTTTGGGTTTTTGGCACTGTTGATATCAGTGAGTTGTGTTTGATATCTTTGATAATGTTGTAATATGAAGCCATGGGAAGGAAGCTTTGTTGTTTTCTCCTAGAACATAATTATAGAAAATTCGGTTGCAACTGAAATATGTACAATACTAATTTTCCTACCTAATTTTATTTTACTCCTAACCAACATAAAATGCTTCATTCATAACTCAGCATATATAATTGTACTATTTACTGAACTCATGAAAAGCTTGAGTCATGGTCCATGTGTGACTCCCTGTGCCGTTTTTGTTAATGATCAGCATCCCTGTCCTCCTCGACAACTCAAGATCCTTTAAATTCTCCCCCAATTTTATTTAACTTTTGGTTTTCTTCAGACTCTCACAAATGCCACCTATGGAATGTGGGAGACAGTTCTGTCATATTTTTACCTATTGGCCTAAAAAGTTGTAGTTTACCTCTGTGTGAAATAAAGCCTGGGCCCAGAATACAGTGGGGGTCTAAAAGATAGCAATATTGACACCACACTCATGGAGTGTGTCAATGGGATATTTTTAGTTTAAAAATGTTACTTTATCATTTGTAGATATGGGTGCAGCAGGAGTGTGGAGCACTTTGGGGAGTGGTAAAGCAGGATGCCATTGCTGACCCCACCAATGCCCAGCAGTTGCTCACCCATATTCTAAACCCAGTACAAATGTTGAGTCACCTTTGGGCTTAGAAGGATGGGGTAGAAGTGCTGTAAATAAATAAATAAACAAACAAATAAATAATACAAAGGACTGGGTGCATGGAAATCTAGAAATACACCAAATCTTTGATTTTCATCCTGAATTAAACCATAATGTGCAGGATATGTCTGGAGAGCTAGGATAAATGAGGGTAACTAGCAGAAGGACATTGCACATTTTACCTTTGGCAAACAAGTCTTTCTGAAATCTATGCAGAAGACAAAAAAAAGAAACAATACCTATCTCTAAATATAGAAATAATAAAAAGGGAGAAAATAAACCCTAATAAATCATAAATTCAGATTGTGATATTTGTCATACCTTTTAGAGATATTAAATACAGCTTGTATAAGATAGAATCGGTACCAGTTCCCTATATAATCTTGGTATCTAGGCAGGGTCAATCCTGATTACTATTTGAATGGGAAACTGCAAACAAATGCCAGCTGTAGGCTACATTGCACGGAAAGGAACTGGCAAAACCAACTCTGAATGTTCCTTACTTAAGAAATCCCTATGAAATTAGGCAATTTGAAGCACATATATATTCACTCTTAGTGTATAGATGTACAGTAGAGTCTCGCTTATCCAACATAAACGGGCCGGTAAAATGTTGGATAAGCGAAAATGTTGGATAATAAGGAGGGATTAAGGAAAAACCCATTAAATGTAAAATTACATTAAGATTTTACAAATTAAGCACCAAAACATTAAAAAACACTTCAATATACTGTAATGTTATTTATATTGTATTTCCGAATGTAGCACCAAAACATCACAATGTATTGAAACAGCTGTGGACTGCATTGGGTAATACAGTGCGTTGGATGAGTGAAGGTTAGATAAGTGAGACTCTACTGTATATGCTTCTCAGAGCTTCACAACTCAGTTGTGATACACTGAGAAATATCAGGATAATATCAACTTCTTTGAACAAGTAGCCATTGATCTCAGGACTATGACTTCACAACATTCCTGAGCAGACAGTGTTTTATTTTATTTAGACCTGACCTTTTGCCAGATGAAAGCTAAGAAAGGTGACAATATCTAACCAGGCCAGACTTCATAGGCTTCTTTTAGAAAGAAAGGAATCATCATCATCAATCATAATTTTGAGAGAGTTGCTGCTGGCTTGAAAGAAAAAACTGATCACACTCATAAATCACAAGAATTTTAACATCCTGGAGTCGGCTTGACTTTTTCCTCTGAATGAGGAACAAAGGTGATAGCAGATGGCTATTTCAAAGACAGTCTCACCAGTGATTGAATGGACCTCAGCTCTCAAGCCCAAATCGCATGTAGATCTTTGGTTATAACACATAAATGGAAATGAAGTGGGTGCGGCAGCATGCCTTACAATAGTCCCAACCAGTTTACCAGCAATTAGGATTTCTGGGAGTTGAAAGCCAAAACACCTGGGGACTCACAGGTTAAGAACCACTGTTCTAGATTGTCAGTGTTTTTAAAGGGGTTTCAGCAGGAAAATGTCCTATTCCCTTTCTAGAGAAGCTGGTGATGGAACCTGGAAGGGGCTTTCCCTCCCCGACAAAGTGGGGAGGGAGAGCAATTTGCCTCCTCCCCTGAATGTAGAGGGGGATGGTTACATCGAACCATCCAGAAAGGGGGCATGGCTAGCCATGAGGCAACCAGCCTCCACGTTCCCTCTTCATTCCGGTTTCAACCTTGCAAAGATTTAGCAGGCAGGGCCCAATGTTCACATCATCTGGTCGGCAATTATTCCACACTTCAAGTGGCTGGGAGGCGGTGATGTTAGAAAATTGGAGAGGGCAGGAAGAGGGTGAACAGGGCCATGCGCACTACACTCACATGGAGTAGGGGCTCCTAAATCCATCATAAGGACATAACACATGACAAAAGCCATTTTTACCATCCAGATGGTATCCATTTGAAGGATGTTGCCAATACCCAATTTTTAGCTGATTTATAGGTGGGTATTAAGTTGGTTTTGGAGGGCTCGGTGGGGGATGGGGGCAATAATAGCTAGGGAAACACAATAGAGTTGGTGTATATCTAAGGCACTCCCTTTGGGGGGTGTGGGCCTTTATCCAATACACTCACCTTGATGTATAGTTAAGGGGTGAGGTGAAATTAAATGGCCATGAAACAGGAGGAGTCTGGTCTCAACAACCTTGGGGAGGCTTCTCCATACGTTTTCCTTTGAGGTTTCCCGGGTTTAGGTCACCAGGAAACCCTGATGTTTCGCCCTTCTAAGCTGAGAGGTAGGCCGGGCAGGGATGCTACCTCGGCTTTGCCATCTATTATTATTTTATTTCATTTACTTATACCCCGCCCTTCTCACCCCGGGG